CATCCCGACACCCCCTTGTCCAAAGCCCCTCTCCATCCTTCCTGTCGGCCCCTTCAGGCATTGGCAGCTGCTCTAAGGTCACCCTGGAGCCTTCTCTTCTCCAGGCTGAACAGCCCCAGCTCCCTCAGCCTGTCCTCGTAGGAGAGGTGCTCCAGCCCTCAGACCATCTTCGTGGCCTCCTCTGGCCCCGCTCCAACACATCCATGTCCTTCTTCTGTTGGGGGCCCCAGAGCTGGACGCAGGACTCCAGGTGGGGTCTGAGGAGAGCGGAGTCAAGGGGCAGAATCCCCTCCCTCGCCCTGCTGCCCATGCTGCTCTTGATGCAGCCCAGAAAGCCACCTGTATCCTGGGCTGCCAGCGCACATTGCCGGCTCGTGTTGAGCTTCTCATCCACCAGTACCCCCAAGTCCTTCTCCTCAGGGCTGCTCTCAAGCCACTCTCCATCCAGCCTGTACTTGTGTTTGGGATTGCTGTACTTGTGTTTGGGATTGCGTTGATATTTCCCTTTGGTTGCACCAGCTGATAATATTCTTTGCTATTAACTCAGTTTTGAAAAACTTTGAAATGATTTGTTTGAAAGATGCAAGCAGAGCTTTGCATATACTTTAAACCCTCACTGGAGGAGATGAGTTGCTGAAGCATCCAGAACACTTGCATCTGGTCAATTCTTTTGTAACCATTAGTGTAAAAATATTTCTGAGTTCAGAGTCGAGGACTGTTGGACTTGGTGGTGGCCCACAAGGCTGTCTGAATGTGGCTTGAACCTGAATCTGTGGCATTCTTCATGACATTTTTAACGGAAATGTGTTTAAAATATTTTTCAGTTAATGGATGTCAGTGTTGATTTGTGGAAGACGTACAGCAAAATGGATCCCGTGTCCTTGGAGGACTTGCTGTTTGAGGTAATGGGGCTGAAATACTCCAAATCAGCTTCTAGTCTGTTAGTGTAGCTGCAGAGCAAAATTATTGGTTGGTTGGTTGTTTTCACTGGTGCTTATAGACTTAATTTACTGGCTCTGTATACTGTTGTTCATTCCTTGCTGCAAATCTACACAAAGTCTGCAAAATTTTAAAATAGCTTGTCTTGAATTCCTCAAAAATCTTAATTTGCCTGAAGTTCACCGAAGAGTTTCACTCCTAAATGGTGTGACTATTCTTCAGGTCATAGGCCTATGCACGAAGTACAGTAAGTTGGTATGTTTGTGTGTATTAGTCCTCCTTCTGCAGCAAGAGGGGGGAACAAGTCCACTTCAACGTGCAGCCCGTTCTTCCCGGAAAAAAACGCTTTCATGGTTGCTTTGTAGCTATTTGAAGTGGATAACAGTGACACACAGTGGCTGCACAGATACTTTGTGGAATGCATGCACTGTGTAAAGTGGTTTATTTTAGTACAGTGGTCTGATCTCAGTGCTAGAGAAGAAAGCAACGTGTGAATATTAGTATATATTATTTTGTTGTTTAATTGTTCATCAGTTTCTAGCTTGGCAGTAATAGGCTTTCAGTATAGCAAAGTTCAGCAGTAAGTATCCTTTATTAAAAAAATGTTGATAATTCACACCAATTTGGTTGTTTAATCTGCTGCTTTAATGAAAATTAAAATGTCATACAGTTTACAAGGCTGTCAGTCTAAACAGGCACCCTGTGATACTTCACTTCCCCCTTCCTGTGGAAGCGAGATAAATGTTTGGGACTATTTTCTTGTACATAGTAATTCTACTGTGAAACAGATGTATTTATCCTATATTGAAGTTTTCAGCCTGAAAGTTGTTGTTACATTGACTTCAAACTTTCTGGGAAAAAGAAAAAAAAAAAGGAATGAATGGGGTTTTCATACAACTCTCTCGGAGATTGGTGATTTCAGAAATGATTGATTTTTCTCCATGAGGATGAAGCTAAGTGCACTTATTGAGTATTTGAAGCTGGTACATGTTCATACTTGTTTTGTCAACACAGTTTTGATTTCAAGAAGTTCTGACTTTAACTCTACTTGGAATTTAAAAGACTATTCTGTACATTATTGGCATGTTCCAAATAAGCTGACAAAAGCACTTTTTAGTTCTTAGCTTCTATGGAAAGTATATGAGATTGGAATATTCTGCAATGATAGTGTCTCCCTTTAAAAGTAAATCTTCATTTTAAATCTCTAATACAAGTTTTATTAGTATTTTGGAAGGCTGGTAAGATTTCATCAACGTTCACTCTCTAAATTTAATTCATTATTGCATTCATGAAGTGGCTGAAGTCAAATACCATACAATACTCATACCACTGCTAAAATCATAGTTGTACTTTTGCCTGTTACATGTCTGAAGAAATACACTTCCTAAAATCAGGATGTCTTTTCTTCCAAGTTAGTATGTGACAAGTAACTGGAAGTAATCTTGAGAGCATTCTAAAATTGCCCAGTTCTGTAAAGTTCCTCTTTTATCAGCATGACACACTTTTCTTTTTATCGATTCTCTGATTTTTTTTTTAATTAATTTGAATGCAGAATTTACCTGTAGTCAACTTCCTTCTTTATTCTGCTTTAGTGAGGTGCCACTGAGAATTCCTTTTCCACCTACCAACTTTTTTCTCACAAACGCAGATAAAGAGATGACTGTCTGCCACTTGCCTATGATGGGCTTCACAAATTCCCCACCCTCTTCCTCACTTTCTGCCCGTAAACTTACTTAGCGTAAAATACAAAGTACAGCAGAACCATATATGAATTTAAAAATTGAAAAATCTGTCCAAGTTCTCATTTTGGAAGTCTTATGGAGAGCTTGAGGTCTGAGTTAGGAGTGATCACAAAACAGTGTACTACCTTAGGTTGAAAGCAGATGGCGCAGGGTTCTGCTCCTTTTCCCTCTCCTGCCTCTTCTCTCTTCAAAAAAACCCAAACCAACCCAAACAGATAGACACACACCCCAAAAAGACCCCCTAAACCCCAGCTTACCTTTTAAAAGACATGTATTTTCTTGTACTTACGGTTTCATTGGGCAGGCTGTAATAGTATACTGCAGAGTGAAATGGAATTTGTGTTGTTCTAAAGTAATTTGGGTTCTTTCAGTACAATCAGTCACTTCTGTTCTCTGGTATAACACTTGCCTTGCTCAAGCAGTGCTTGCAAGTAATGTTGGATATTTTTCTTCTAGGATTTAATGATTTTTGAACACCAGTGGACTAACTTTTTTGCTAATTTTGATACTGAAATTCCCTTCATTCTGGAACTATCAGAATCTCAGGCGGGGGAGGTAGGCCTGCTTCAGTAATCTTTTGAAATGCTAGTGTCATCCATGCAGAAGTAACAAGTATTCAACTTTATTCTGTATTTTTCTTCTTTTTTTTTTCTCCTCCCTACCCCATCTCACCTTTCATGTTTGAGGAGTAGAAACCTATTATTATTTTTTTTTTTTAAATTCACTACCCACCTTAGCTAGCCACGGTAAGAGGGCTTAGGACTGCCCAGTGTAGTTCAGTGGAGTATTTGTTCACTGATGATTGAACTTAGTCGATTTACTCCTGCGCAACAGATCCCTGTTTGTAGGTAGATTGACCTTCATTTTGGTGGAAGCTCCGGTATGTGCACTTCCCAACAAGCTGAGGTTGCCCATGCCAGATCTCCACCATAACTGATGGTAGCATACAGCATGGGTGAAAGTAACTCAGTACTTTTTGGTAGTGGCTGTTGCTTTTTAAGCACATACGAGACTGAATGGCGGTTGGGTTTGTTCGTGGAGGTTGGAAGTAGTTGTGTGGGTTCAGGAGTTTTCACTGAGAAAAATATTTCAGGTTTGTTCTTTATGATAGTGAGGATATATCACACTTTCTGTTCATTTACTTTTTCTTCAGGGTTTTTTTTGTTTTTTTTTTAATTCTTCACAGCCTTTCAGAAGTTATTTCAGTCATGGAATGATCTCAAGCCATATAACAGATAACAGGTATTACTCATTATTCCCTGTGAAATTGTGGTGTGACTTGTACCTCCATATGTTATTTCCATATCTCTTATGCCATAATGCTTATAATTCCTTTTGGGACCATCAAAGTAGATCACATCTCATCTTCATATATTTAAAAAAAACACGCAAAGACAATTCTGGGAAGGATAAGTTGAATTTTCATGGGATTTAATGCTGTAGTTACTACATACAGTGTCAATATGTTTGAAACCATCTACCTTGTGCATTCTAATGTGACTGATTTCTTCATGGTCAGATAACTAAACAAACTCATGAACTTACTATACGGGACAGAGATGTTTGAAATATTGGTCCTATTTATATGATACTCAAAAACAATTAAAATATGAAGATTGGGGAAGTCAGTGTAGTTTTGTGAGCCACAATGTGCACAAAGCCAATGCTTAAAGCAGGGCAGTTAGAACCTCAAATCTTAGCCAATATAAGCTGGGCAGTACAGGTCAGCTTTATTTTATTTCAGCATACAATTTTAACTGAGAGGCAGGTTGTTTGTCATATGTTGCTAAAGCAAGCGTTCTGCTGTTTTGAGCTAAATAAAGGTTGCTTAGCTACTTGAATGTCTCTGCAGATTCTTCTTTATTTGGAATTAAACAGTGGAGTTCAATGTCCTTGATTGTTTTCAGCATCCTATATTGTTTGCATTTAAATAACGAGAAGAAGAACCTTGACCTCTCAAGTGGAGTCTTGGGCCAAAAGCCAGAACTAAAACCAAAATAGTTTTGTTTTGTACAGTCATTTCAGGGTTTTTCAAGATGGTAGATTTAAAAATAGTCAGCCTTTCAAGGTAATTTACTTTAAAAAAAGAGGGGAAAAAAAATTCTAATAGCATTTGGGAAACAGCCTTGAAGTATGTGCTTGTACATGAAATACATTATAGTCTTGTTAATTCAAGTAATTTTTTTCTTTGGAATTTGGTCTTTTCAGTGGGAAGCATTCTGCAGCTGTAGTAATTTTTTTTTTTTATGCTACTCTTTTAGTGAGAAATTCAGTAGTTGATGTATCAGACTTGAAAGCTTTGATTTCATGTGTTGTTTGTAAGTTTTCTTCAAGTATTTTGGTGTTGATACCCTCTTTTCTCCTTAGCCCTAGCCGGCAGCCCTTTGTTCTGTTTGGTAGCCACTCAACTAAGGAAAACTTGAACTCTGGTAACTTTAATTTTCCATCAGAAGGACATCTAGTTCGAAACACTGGCCTTGGTGGAAGCGCTGCTAAGCATATGGTAAGGCTTTTAAGTAGTTAGCTGATATTTTGAAGCAGTGTATATTTTCTTTGCATGTTTTTTTGGTGCCCTTAAAATGCTTACCTTCCATGAGTTAAATACACAATTCTTCTTAATGTATAAAAACATACGTTGCCTTAAGAATCAGTCAATTTAAGGAACAAATTTCCTTTTTCTTTCTCTTTCCAAGTCCAACTATACTGGATTTTTAATCAGGCACTGCTGAATGAGTTAAAATATTTTTCCCCCCTGTAAAAAGACAACTTTTTAGACACTTGTGGTACTGTAAATGTGTGGGGTGGGGGAGAGGGAAATGCTGTTTGTGAGGACGTATATACTAGCTGTAAAGTGAAAATCTTCCTGATGGTAGCATATGATGTACTTCACTCTGACACACAGATTTTATTTTAATCAGAATTGTTTAGCCATTTCTTAAAAAGAAGTGAAAAGGCACTTGTTTTGATAATGACGTTTTAGAATAGACACAGGATACTTACGTGTATCCAAATTTCAGTGTATGCTTCGGCAGCTGAACAGGTCCTGAAAACTGACAATCTTTCTAGTGTTCAAAGAATGTTAAGATCAAGTTGGTGATGATTAACTTGTTTCCGTTTTCAAGTAAAAGCTTAGTTTTAAAACATATGATGAGGTCGATGGCTTGTTGCACCGCCGTGCAGGGGACGTAACTGGGGAAGCGACCCCAGGGAATTCAGATCCTCTGGCTGGCTGGGCTGGGTGCATCAAGAAGGTAACTCGCAGCGAAGGAGGAGAGGTAGCGTGCAGATTGCGTTGTGTAGTTCTCCCTGCTAGCCGATTGCCGTGGGCTCTGGAGTGTCCGTCAGTTGTGTGAGTCCAGAGTCTGTGCTGCTGAGGAGATGGATGTGGCTGAGTACAGGAGTGAACGTATGATTGAGGGAATGAGTTTATGATCTTGTCATGACAACATTTCGTGTGTAGTTGCCTTAGGGATGGATGGACGTGGGTGTTCTGGACACATTGCCTGTGTCAAGAGCCTGAGAAAGGATTGTTTTAGCATCCCAGTGAAATCTCATCCTCCATTTGCTGCTCTGTCTAACCCTGTTTCTCTAAAGACACTTCCAATTGTGTTTCTTCTCCCCTTGTTAACATTCTCATTAAGACCATTTGATATCTTTGAAAATGCAAGTACAATTTTATTCTGATACACTTGCTTCGTCCGTTGTCCTCAGATTCTGACATTTGTTCTTAAAAAGGTGGTTTATTTACAGGTACAGGTGATACTGTTTTGATAGGGTGTCATGAAAATAGTAAATAAGACCAAGTGCAAGCATAGTTATGGCAACCTGACACACTTTCCTCTTCATGAAAAGAGCAGTTGACATAGGAAATTGAAAACACACGCTTAACGCTTATGGAAGTCAGAGCTCATCTCCTTTCCAAAGTCTTTCAACCATTCAGGTCAAGTCAAAAGTGAAATAGACCTTTGAAAACGTAAGTTGCTTTTTTAAAATCCAGTTAAGTGTGTTGTGCATCTCCTGTAGTATGTCAGTGGTTAGAAGACTTAAGGGGAGCTTAGCTTATTGTTAATTATTGCACCAATTTTTTTTTACTAAGGTCTTTTTGTATCTCATTAATATTGACAACTAGGTAGTGCAGTGTGTATCTCCAAAGGGACCTCTGGCTTGTTCAAGGACCTATTTTTTTGGAACTACTCACATTCCTTTCCTGGGTAAGTATATTAAAAATACCAAGCTGTAATTTAAGACAGTTATTCTCTTTGATTGCTTAAAATTTGGAGCAATTAAAAGATGGTTTTGATTCCTTTCTGAGCGTTAGGCCATGGGGAGATAGATACTGTGTAGTTCTGTAGCCAGGGTGTGAAATTGTAGCAAAACATTGTTCTGTTGCACATCCTACATTCACGTGCAAAAATATGTCAGATATTCGCAAAGAATGATGCAGAGGCCAGGAAGTGTGCTTGTGTTTGCATCAGAACACGGTGTGAAGGTAGAGTGCACCTGAGTGTGCAGGCTTTTGCAAGTACTAGGTAAACATTTAAGTCCATGTTTCATACAGGTTGATTAAATTATGATATTTTTGGGCACACTTTTTCTAAGTGGTAGTTGTCAAATAAGCCTGTGGGGTGGTTTTATTTTAATTTTTTTTTTTGTCAAAATAATTGAAGATTTTTAAAAGGATGGAGAAAATTCTTCGACTTTCATCCTTTGTCCTCTGGTTTGGGTCCAATATAGTGTCTTATAATAGCTGTCTTCCCTAATAAAAACAAGCCGTGAGAAATTTTTAAAAACTTTCAAAATTTTCTTACCCGTTTGAAATGCCTGTATGAGTCTGTGGATAAAGTCAGTCTCCTTAGGGTTACGATATATCTTGAAACCATATCCAGCGCAGAAAGTATCTGAAGAGAAGGTGGTTGGAGGCTTGCAAAATGGACAGAATTGGAGCGTGTGTTTGCTCTAGTTGTGCTTTTTCCTGGGCACACGGGAATGCTGCTCTGGGACATGGGATACAGCGTGAGAGGGGTCTTTGTTCTGACCCAGCGCAGCTGGGTCTAGGGGATGCAGGTCTTAGTCCTGGTGTAGCGTGTACTGGTTGTACTGATACAGGTTAACCTGTGCTTTGCGCTTTTTTATGTCTGCAAGCAAACTGCAGTTAATAAAATACTGGATAAATGATACGTGAGATGTGCAACAGCAATGTTGTGCCCAGGTTGTTCTGTGTAAACGCTTCTGAAAGTGCTTGAAACAAACATTTTTGATTTTAATACAGGAAATGACAATGAGATGCACAAGCAAGCTGAACAAGTGTAAGCTGCCAACTTTTTATTATTTCTTAACTCTTCACTCTTTTCTACCTTGTGGCAGTAGGCCAAAACCGCTTTTAGTCAGCAGTGGCTGTCGGCATTTGCAGAGCTGCATTTTTATTTAGAATAACATGAAGGTGGGAGGGTTTTGAAGGCAGATTGCTCATGGAGAGTTTCAGTGAGCAAACTAGGAATTGGTAGTGTGACATCCCTTCTGCTGTACAGCAAAGTATGAAAGGGAATATTAGTAAATTTTGCTTAAATTTGAATAAAATTTTTTCATCTTAGCACTATTTAAGTCACCTTAAAAAGGACTTCATATACAATGAGGGGGAAAGTATCTAGAAGTGAATGGGAGCATATTCCACAGGTAGAAGTAAAAGTAATTTTTAGACTAGTTTCATTAAGCTGAACAAGGTGTAAGATTCATAGTGGTTAGTGAAAATGCCAACAGGGAACACTCAACCTTGCAAAGAAATTTCCCTATGTTACAGGATAGATAAAAGTTAACTTCTGATTTTTTTTGTTAGTAAGCTACAAACAAAGCTTCCGCACGTTTTGACCTTCACAAATGAAGACTGTTCATCCATTTTGATGTCCATTTTTCTGCATGTTGTAGATACTTGTCGAGCTTTAAGAACGTGGTAGATAATCTGCTTTGGTACTGCTCTCAATCTTGATAAACCAGATTTTTCCTTAGAGGTTTTGTCCTTCTTGCTAGTTAGGATGATTTTAGGAGCCTGTTCTTGCTTCTGCGGCGGAGCAGTTTCCAAGCCTGCATGACAGGTTAGTGAGATGTTACAGATGTGTCAGAGGGAGCTGGCAGCAGTGACCTTCCGTGCTAAGCTTTACTGATTTTTGGTAATTGTGATATGGTTCTCAGACGTAGAAATTAAGTTACTAGACTGAGCTGCAGATTTTTCATTTGTTGTAGTATAGTTAACTTTGACAGGTAGTTTCGCTTCCACGTATGTTCTGCTCAAAGATATAGAATATTTCTTGTCCTGCTTCTAAATCTAGTGGAAGATGCTGTTGCTCACTGCAGGGGGGTTGGACTAGATGGCCTTTAAAGGTCCCTTACGACCCAAACCATTTTATGATCCCCTAACATACAGTTCTGACCAAGATGGCTGGAGAAGTTCTAAGCAAAGCAAGGGTCAGTTGATAGCAGCAGTAATTTTTATGAGAATATCTTTTTCTTTGAAGCATCCCTGTATTGGATCAAATAATATAGTTTTAACAACAGCAGCAAAATTAGCTTTTTTGCCAAACCTGACCTCGTGATTTTGGAATCAGCTTGCCATTGAGTCCTGTAACTGGTTCTTATATTTGTCAATGTTTTCCAATGAAATAAAAAGTGGAAATGTATTTCCTAAGCATTATTCAGTCCAAATTTTGCTGTATTTAGGAAGCAGAACTGCAACCTAGATGTGTAACTTTAAGTATCCCCGGGGTAAACTTTCTGGCTTTTTTTTCTTTTTAAGAAAATACCATTTTCTGTTTTGCATTGTTAGTGTTAAAATTTTCAAATGGGAAGAAGAGAAAGATAACTATAGGATATTTATCTAAAGCACAGCCCACTGTGAGGTGTGTTCTTGCAAGTATATATGTAAACTTGCATGAAAATAAGAATGGCTGCAGAGGTAGGAAGAATTTAAAGGCTTTTCCTGTAACGAGTGCGTACTGAAAATAGAAGTTAAATGCATGTGTTAGTATGTGAAATTACATAGAAGAAACCTCAAAAAGTAGTAAGAAGGTTTGATTTTAAAATCTCTTACTACTAATAGGAATGAAGCTCAAGGAGAAGCATTGGTGCATTTTGAGGTTCCTCCAGGTTGGGCCATGCTTGGGAGCTCCAGATGCTTTGTCCCATCCTTCAGGAGTGCTTTGCATACGGGTTAAATGCTGCGGCCTTCGCTTTCCTCCCCACTCTTCCCTCCCTTGGCATCTGGCAGTTGCAGAGGAGTAGTGAGAGGAGTTAGTTTGGGGAAGTAGGGTTGTTCAGTTGATCTACTGAATCTGCTTGTTCCAGTGTGGCTGGAAGACAGAGGCTGAGGTTCCTTAGCTGGACACAGGTGGTTTTTCTTCAGTAGTTTTCAAGCTATGAATACATCGGGAGCTGTAAGTCGCTTCTAGCTTCACCTAACCTTTGTTTATTTCTGTGCAATTTTTTCAGTTCCCTGTTAAGAAGGGAACTGGAGTAAGCTGTGATGTAGATGTGCTCAGAAGGTTGCGGCGACTAGTTTGTTCTGGTCTCTTTTTTGCTTGGCATGTTCAGAACAAGTCAGTCTCTGAAGTCAGTTGACTCTGTTTTCCAGTTTTGCTTTTGCGGAACGTGGGGCTACCATTCTCTTCTTGTTGGAATATTTAGGATGTGAGCCTCAACTCAACCACAGTGAATGTCAACAATAAATATTTTCTTTTCTTGAGTGATGAGAGCCGGGATACATTTGTGACGAGTTTTTTTTTCCCCAAGATATTCTGTAATCTGAGCAATTTACTTGCTCCAATTTATTTTTTTTTTAAATGGAAAGGTTAAGTATTAAGCAATTTCTATGCTTATTTGAGCAAGGACCCCTTCCATATCAGGGAGTTATGTTATGACAGGAAAAACTGCTCCTTTGAACAGAGGAGGAAGAAAACTCTTATCTGTCTAGTAAATGTTGTGTTTGTATTTCTCTTCAGTACGCTGTTGTCGCAAATATATACTGCTGTTGTAGAGGCTGTGCTTGCTGGCATTGAGTGCTATGCTAAAACTTCCACTGAATCCAAGGTAAATGAAGCACCGATTCTGTATGCTGTAATTGTTGATTTGGATTGCTTGCAAGATAAGATTACATGCAAACCAAAATTTAAAAAAAATAAGTGTTTCAGTCAACTGCGTAACGTTAGTGAAGTTAATACCGTGGCCTCCAACCAGTCTCTCTGAATGCTGTTGTTTTTCCATCTTTCATGAATTTTCCTAACCTGCTCATAAGGAAAATCAGATATGTGAAAGAACAAATTTTAGCCTGGTGCATCAGTGTGTCACTGTTTAGTGTATGGTCTCTTGTTTATCTTCTGGGTGCTCCTGTAGCTGCTGGGATTTGGAAGTATGGGAAAAGATATTTTATTCTCAATTTCCTTTTTTCAGGCAAAGGAGGTAGCAGAGCAGATGCTCATGTCTGTGCTAGATACCCTGCATTTAACACAACTTAAAACTGCATTGCGGTAAGAATTTTCAAATATTTATTGATAGATGTATTGTGTCAATGTATTAGCTTCTTTTGGGGAAAAAAATATGTCAAATATTAAACTGAACTTGCATGGCTGCCAAATTCCAAGACTTTTAAATTCAGACTTTTAAAATAATTGTATTCCATTTATTCCATTATTATTTCATTCCATATAGTTGTTATTTCATTTTTCTTTTCCTGCCTTTTTAGTCACTTCAGCAATTAATTTGCTTTAAAACTATTATTTCTTATTTTTTACATGTAGAAGAAGTATAAAACACAATTTTTACCAGTACAATTTCTGTCCTACAGCTCCAAAGTCGCTTTTCAAATTCAGGCTGTGAATAATCATGGAAGGTTTGTATCACTATCTTAGACTTCTTGTTACTAATCAGTGCTTTTAATACAGTAATAAAGTTTATTTTTCTTGTTTTGGAGCTTCTGAGAAAACATTGCATTTGATTATTTCGTACAAGATGTACTATATGCTTTTGTGATGAGACAGTGTAATGATTTCATATTTTTAATTCTGTGAAGTCTAAAAACATTTTAAAAACTGTAAAACAACGGAGCAGACCAATTTTATTAACAGTTAATGAGTAGAAGCAGCAGGAGCCCATTAAATGTTTTCTTTTAAAACCATGCTTTTAGCTTAGTTGATATCACAACTGCTTTCTGAATCCCCACACTGTCTAATTGACTGAAATGACCTACACAAATAAGAGTTTAGTTTAAAATTAAATAGCTCTTTTGGCTGCTGTGAAGTTACTCAAAATGATCTAACCTTTAAATATTTAATTATCATTATTGTTCTAGAATTACTCCATTAGACAATGAGGATAGCCTGAGTTTGATTAAAACGGTAAGTTCTTCAGTATTCTGATTATACATTTTATTAGAAAACGAAACTTGAGTGGCTTTCTTTTATGGGGCATACTGAGATTTTTATCTATTTGAATACAAATGTAAGGGGGGAGATGAGAGATTTCAGATGCTGAAACCAAGGTAAGACGGAGTTGTAACATGAAGTCAGACAGTGGAATTTGGAATAAAACATTAACATAGAGTTATGATCTCGGACTTTCCACCGCAATGTAGAAGCGGTGCTTTAGGAAGTTTAAAACACACAGATTTTGCTGCTTCAACTGAAATTGTTTCAAGTTCTGCTTTCTCTTCCTTTCGGTCCAACTGCTGGATTGCTGCAGGCATCTATGATGGTATTTGACATTCCAGACTTGCTCACAGGAAGAGGATGCTTGGGATCTGTTGTCTTTTCTGAGTCCTTTCTAACATCACAGATACAAGTAAAAGAAAAAGGTAACTGTTTTAAATTCTAACATCAGTGTTATCGTTCTGTTAGCTTTGGTGTGATTGAAGGGCAAAAAGGCTTCCAACTGATGTTATTAATTACTGTTACCATTATGGTTTTAAGCCTTTGGGTTAATTAAAAGACCTGAATGTTTTAGCTTGCTAGTAATGAATATCTTAAGTGTAAACTTTCTCTAATCTCCCTGAAAGGACTTCGGGTTTTATGGCTGTGTTGTGATACAGCAGGGCTGAGGTGTAAAAAATTCAAGTGTAATAATTTTCTTCCTGAATTTTCTTCGGTCTTAGTGAATATTTTCCTTTGTATGAGGAGATTTGAGCAGCTCCCCTCCATCACTTTTGTAACGCTCATTTGATACGATATGTTTTAATTTCAGTTGCTCTTTATTTGGAGGAGGTGAAACAAAACTAAAAAAGGATATGATTTTTTAGAAAGCTTGTTTTTGGAACAGTCTTACATTTAGAGTACAGGATACCGAGTAATTTCCAGGACTTCAGACAAGTGCATATTTTCCAGATTGTTTACATGTGACGAAGATAGATAGTTTCTGAGGTTGTCTGAACAATATTTATGAACTCGTATCCAGACAGACTATGGGTTTTTAGCTGTGGGAGATGGAACAGTTTTGATGAGGGGGAGAGCAAAGGAAGAAGCCACACGTTAAGACCAGAATAAAAGCAGGGTTTCTTTGGTACTGTATAGCTGCTCTGTGTATGTTACAGTCCAAGAAGACTGGGAGCTAGTCTGCTGTGAAAACTTCACTTAAACGCTAATAAATCCTGAAAATAATGAGGAAATTGTCAGATTTCTAAAGAAATTTCAAGTCGTAACAGTAACTTATTGAACAGTCTGAAGTATATGGGTAGTGTTATACGAGTTTGCTTTCCATTTACTTCCCTGCAGATGGCAGCATTAATTCAGAAACCAGCCACATAATACTGACTGCAGCTATCCCAAGATACGCTTCTTGGCTGGTTAGTATCCAAAAATTTATTTGAGATTTTTCTGTACATACAGATTCACAAATGAATGCTTGTTGTAAAACTATGGATGTATGAGGGAAAAGTATGAAACTTGGGCACTGAAACAGGATATGAATGTATTAATACTGATCTGATTTTTGAATTTGGACATGAAGAGAAAAACTGAGAAGTGGAAACACGCTGATGGTTCCATTCATAGCATGAATTTTAAATTATTTCATTTTCACCAGTTTGGTTTTTTAGCTGTGTAAAGGCCTGGGTGTTTTTGAAGTGTGACTTTTGAAAATTCTACTTATTGTGGGTCACTTTAGGTCACTTAAATGTCTGCCACAACAGGAGAAAAGTCTGCTTCCAGACCTCTGATGTACAACACTGTGTTAGGAGTAGAACTCTGGTGAATGTTATGATGCTGGACAACATTATGCCCTCTGGCAATCCGTACTGCTGAAATACTTTAACAGTAATGAAAAATAAGACTGAATGGAGTACACTGCTTTGTGACTGCACAATATGATGCTGGACAACATTATGCCCTCTGGTAATCCGTACTGCTTAAACACTTTAACAGTAATAAAAAATAAGACTGAATAGAGTGCACTGCTTTGTGACTGCACAATATCATTTTAGTTTATAAAATGATTTAATGGGGAGCATCCCCTTGAATGTGTTTCAAGGAACTGTTTCAGTCCCACGGTGACACAGTATTGAAGAGCACAAAACTGTCTTTGAAGCACTCTGGTCTCCAGACTTTGTCTGTGGTGCCTATGGTTCTTGTTTGCCTTGAATCTAATGCTTTTTATTTAACATTAGATTTGCTTTATCTACTAACAATACAAATTGAAACTGTTTCTGGCTACAGGTTGAAGACAGTGATGTGAAACTGTCTGAAAAGGCACAGCATATATTGAAGGTAAAATTAAACATTTTTGTTGTACTATAGAGGTTACACTTTCAAGAACCAGTATTTAAAAAAATCTTAGCTGTTAGTAAAAATGGCTTTTATTATGTTTGTTACTCCTCTTCTACGACAGGCTTGCCTATTCTATACTGTCTCTTTCAAACTTTGACCTACAAAAAAAATGCGTTTTGTGTAAAAGTTTGAGGTTTTCTTTATTTCAAAGAAAGACAAAACCCAAGAGCAAAAAGAGCTCTAATACAGCTGCAATTTCATGGAAGTATTGCCCATGGAGCTCGTGTGTTTCAAAAGACCTTCAAAACTCAATGCCACTCTACATGCAACTTTCTTTTAACTTAATTAGCATGCTAAATGTCTAAAGGAAAACACTGTAAGCACTGTGAAAAAGAAAAGAATTTGGGATCTGGGAACATCTTAAACCACATGAGTTTCACATTTGTGGTTTAATTTGTGGTTACCAGAACTCTTCATTATAAATAGATTTATTTTCCTGTAATATACTTTTAGTTCAGTAGATTGACAATCTAAAAACAAAAAGCTATGCCCTGTGGTTGTGACAATAACTTGTAACTTAATAGCTGCTGGCAAAACCAAAACAGGGGGGAAGTGCGTTTAAAAATTACTCTCTTGACATGCTGTCTTTCACTAGTTCTTCTGTATCGATGCAGTTTAAAACTCAGTGAAAAGTTCTGGCAGATGCTGTTTAAAAGTGTCTTTTCTCTTGAAGCAAAAGCGTGAGAAAGCATTCTTGCCTGGGTTACAGTCCTTGATCCAGTCCGTGATGCTACTCTTTGTTTCTCCTGTTTAGGAAGACAAATCTTTTCTGGGCACTTTACTCACTGGAGGCGATGGAGCATATATTTGTTCTAGCAATCCACACGCCATGCCTGCAGAAGGTGAGATGTGTTTTTTGTCAATTGCTTGTAGAGTTGGTCCACTTGTTCTTGTTTGTTTTTTAAACATGAGAGATGCACCGTTGCTGGCATTTGCACATCTAGTGAGCCTACCTATACCACGGTCTTAAGCTTTCTTTCCATTTGCCTTCACACCTAAACTCCACGTCTTACTTCTTTGTCCCCAACCTGTTCTTGACACTCCCAGTCCTAGAAGAAGGATTCCTGTCAGAGCCATAGGCTTGCTCTTGAGGCACGTGGGACTCTTACATGATTGACAAGGAGGCTTTGCAGACCTGGGAGATGGCTTTTTTCCATAGCTGACATTCAAAAGGGTGCACAAACTGACTGCATTTATCCTTAATAGATGACGCTTTGCAGACCTGGGAGATGGCTTTTTTCTGTAGCTGACATTCAAAAGCGTGCACAAACTGACTGCGTTTATCCTTAATAGATAATATACCATATGTTTTCTGCCCTTTCTGTATCCATATGAACATTAGGTTGGAAAGACTGGCCAGTGCAGTAGCGCCAGTGTGCCATGGGCTCCCAGCTCAAGAAGCGAAGGCAAATATGTACCTTTTGGGCAATGTGATGGGGTGTGGGTGCGTGGAATGATTTGCTGCTAGATTTATGTACAGCCTTGTGTTCTTTGCTTCTGTCGAAGCCTCCTCCTGCAGCTGACGTGCTGTTCCGGTTTTTTTCCATTGTCATTTTCACGCAAGAAGGTCCATATTTTTTAGCACAGATGCTCAGCGTATTACAGAAAGATGCTCGATCGTGGTCCTTCTCACATTCAGTGAAGTTACTGCTTTCTGCCATGAGATCACTAGCAACAGTCTTGCATCATTCATCCTCTTTTGGTGCCTTTTCCTTCAAGAACTTAAGTCATGCAAATATCCCAATGATATGACTGAGGACAGTTTGGGAGGACTGTTTGGGAGGGGTTTCCCCCCTGCTCCACAGCCTTGCGTTAATGTGCCTCGCTTTACCTTGGGAAAAGTCACGGAATAATAAGGAGAAGTTGTTGAATCAAAGTGTATTTCTTGAGGTGCAATAGTTTTATGTTTCGCTGTCCAGAGAAGCTACTGTTGTCACAGTATTGATGTACAACAGAAGATAACTAATACCTGACATCGAAGTGCGTAGTATATGGTGATGGTCTTTCAGGGAAAATCTCTAGCTTTATTGTTTTTGTATTTACGCAAAGACAGTATTGAGGATAAATAAAGATGTACAAGGCAATTAAATAGTGACTTTGACACAGCAGAATTTTCTTTCACTCTAATTTCACGGATTTTAGAGGAAGAAGGTGAACACAGAGTAATGTTCAGCTCCTTGGCAATACAGTGCTGTGGGCACAGGTTCGCTCAGTAAATAACTAGCGAGACGAATGTAGAATTTTTTTGTGGCTTTGTGAATACTGGCTGTGTGCCCCCCAGTGGAGCAATTTACTTTTTGCCTTTTTTGGGGAGGTTTGTGAAGTTAAATGTTTTGATAACTCTTGGGATGGAGAGTTCTAAGTAGGTGGTATAAGGACTATTATGTAACACTTCAACGAGCGAGATATTTTCTTAGGTGTCAAGTGAAAATGAACTTGATCTCGTTCCCTTTCATGTACGCGGCAAGACAGTTTGCTGTGCTCTAATTTGGGCTCTGCTGAGATTGCAGCGATGTAGTCTGGCAAGATTAGGTGCAGAAGGTGCTGTCAGACAGCCTTTCATCTTCTCTCTGTCACTTGTGTCTTACTGGAATAGGATATGCATTTGGGACTAAAATGCATCAAAAAAAGTTCAGGCTGTTCAGCCTTTTCCTTTGTGTGTTGATACATCTGCTGTGTTCTGGATTTTTGGAGGATGAATTTAACTGAGTCAATCAGCCTTGCCAATTAAACTCTCTGCTGTGATTAATGACTTGTGGAAAATACACAAGTAGTATATTAAGTTGTTCTTGGTATAATTCACTGACTTCCATGTTAAAGGAAGCAGTTCTAGTTTGGCTTAATCACTACTGTTTCTGGCTTCCTTTTCTGTTGCGAAAGAATTAACATTGCTGATTTTCTTTCTTTTCCTATTGACACATTCTCTGTGAGGTGTGATATTTGTGAGATTTAAAAGAAATGTGCTTAAAGTGTTGCATTTTGCCATTTTTCTTCCTCAACCACTGGAAGAGCACTGGAAGCATCAGCAGCGAAGTTCTTGTAGAAGTGAACTATTAAACCTCCACATCTGTATGATAGTCTATGGCTTTGTCTCCATTCCAGCTGCTCTGAATTTGTGCCTTGTATTGGTGATTGTAGTGTTTCCCAGTTCAGTAGTAACCTGCTCTCTGGTGCAGTGCTGGCATTAACGAGAAGCTTCGGCCTAAACCAGTTGTGTTCATAGCTAGCGGAGCCTACATGTCTGTTAGGTAACTGTAGAAATCACGTGTCTAGGTATAGTGATTTGGCTGGATTCATGGCAAGCTCTTTTTTATTAAAACAAAGCCTTAATACTGAGAAGTTTTGAAGATCTTACTCAAAGTTGGCATTTCAAGAGGCAAATGTCACAGTTCTTTGTTGTTTCTTCTGAGCATGGTTTGATAGGTTGAGCGAGATGTGCAGTCATGTTTAGCTGTATGTGTTACTCTGCTGCTTGGCTTTGCTTTTATTTTGGAGCGTAATGCCATTTTTCTCTTGGATTTTTTTTCCTTTAAAGAAAATATTTAACCTTTCCCTTTTGCTGACTCACATGTTTTCCTGTGTGGGATGTGATCCTGCTTTTAACACATGGTCTAACACTGGTTGTGGAGGTCCAGCTGGCAGCCCCTGCTTAGTCATTTGTTCATGGTGTTCTTAAAACTGTTGCAAATCGGCTTTTTGCTGATGTCAGTTTCTAGCGCTTCGGTGGAATTCTGTCTTTAGCCATTACACCATCTAGCCTTGCTGTTTCTCATTTTCCAGCTGCTTTCCCTGGTCACGCAGGTTTGTTTAGAAGCAAAGCATCTGTAAGATGGCAAGAAAAACGGAGATAGAATGAATGCCACGTCTCTTGGCTGTCACTAGATTGTTACCTTCCAGGGAAATCCTTTGTCCAGTAGCGGTTATCTCTATACACAAAAGAAAATGCAAGTCTGCAGATAAGGGGCTTTTCTGTTTTAGACTTTGTCTTGGTCAGGGAGTGAAAGGAAAACTCAATTTTTTTTTTATTTTTTTTTTTTGGACTGTCTGCATGGTATGTCAGTTGTCTTTGATGTAAATTTTTTTTAAGTTCAGGTTTTGTGAGTTTTACATTTCTGGAAGCGTGCGATTCAACATGATGGCAATTTTTTTGTGCTTTAAAAAAAAAAGCCACAGAATATTTACGATAAGCGGGCTTCAGGGTATAAGATTGTCAAATGCAATCATAGTCACGATTCCTGCCCTTGATAGTCATATCCTGTAAAGATCAGTTGTGTCTGAACGCTGTCTAGATACTATCCAAATATTTACTCAAAGGTACTGCATGTCAAATATAACAAAATTCTGCAAGAACATGGATTTCTTCCTCAGAAAGAAGAGACATTCGTCACATGATGCTGAAATCCTGACATGTACATAATATTTTTTTTTTCTTTCATATTCTAGGCAAAGTGTACTTCTTCTCAGATGGCATTCTCTTTTCCGATCCGCACCACGGCAGCATTTCCATTTCAAAGAACCATATGAGTTCCATTTCCCTCTATGATGGGGTGAGTATTTTGTTTGTTCCTACTGCTGTAAACTTTTAATCATCTTCTGACAATAGTTCTGTAGGGTACAAGTACAAAGTTTCAGTTGCAGTTTTACAAGTGTATGCGTAAAACTGTAATTGTTGCAGATCTCTACACTTTTGGTATTGGTTAGCTTAGCCAATTACTGATGAGCTAAACTGTAAGGAGGAGAGAGTTTTGTATTAGAGTGAGTTGTCAGTGTGGAAAATTGCTTTTTATTGAAAAAAAGAATTGCAGGACATAGCATTCATAAAACCTCTAGCAGTCTTAAGTGATGGATAGAGAAAAGTTCAAGGCGTTGTGAAGTCATATGGTGTGTTGGAGGGCAAAATGCTGCCTTCTGTTCAGAATATATTTAACCTTCAGTCGAATGTTCGTGGCAGTGTACTCCTTATCTCTGGAGAGGTCACGAGCGGTGTCTGTCTACTGTCGCAGAGCGTTGTGTAACTGACAGGGTGAAGGGAATGGCTGGTTCATGTTTCCCGAGCTGAGAAGTGAGAAGGCATGTTGCATGCAATTACACATATTCTGAGTAATTACAGTAAAAGACACAATGTTAGGCGTAGACTTTTGCCATTCCTGTGATCAGCTTGTGTAACTGTACTTTGTCAGCTTGCTTAGTTGGAATGACTGGGCTTGGTGGGAATTGAGGGTTAGATTAATGATAACAGCCCAGCATTTTTTTCCTCTCCAAGGCAGACACGCTGCGTTAACTATCACCTTTTCAGAATGGAAAAGAGATTATTTTGGTTGGTTATTTTTTCCTAAGCCCTGAAAAAAATACAAACCCCAACTGTTTCCTTTAGTTGCTATTTTCTTCAGGTATAGTATTACACATTTGTTTAGTGACCTCCAGAAAGCATTGTGTCGCTATGATTTCATCATGTAATGGAGGAAACCAGTCAAATACAATAAAAGTGTGTGATTCAATTGAGATGAAAACATGAAAACACAACAGTGGAGAGAATCTTACCTTAGCTGCCTTTTCTTGTATATCATATCGATTGCGCCTTGGTAGTTTAAGAAGCTATTTTAACGCTGACCTTCCTCCTATTGTTTGATTTAAGACACTCACTTTCATAAAACTAGCTATTTCTGGGACCTGGCTATCATTCTTGAACTGATGCCAGGTTTTTGTGTAAAGCTAAACCTTGACAGAGACCATTTTATTGTTAACTGACTTGGCATAACACAAGGGTGGAGGGCTTAAAATGTTAAGAAATGACAGGAGAAGAAGGGTAATTGTTAGCATGCTTTTTCTGGAAGTTATTGTAGCAACGAGATTGATGGAAAAGAAAGGATAATTTAATGCTGGGATTAAAATAGAAGATACAAAGACTTTAAGTGATGCGAAGTACAGTTTCTTAGCAGTTCTATCACTGTGCCTGCTAGATACTCTTCTTCTTGAAAATGGCTGCACTGCTGCCTCGACACATGCTGCAAGCGTCTCTGTTCTGAGAACAGAGTCACTCTGAGGGTGACGGAGCACTGGAACAGGCTGCCCAGAGAGGTTGTGGATTCTGCTTCTCTGGAGATATTCAAGACCAACCTGGACGCAGTCCTATGCAGCCTGCTCTGGGTGACCCTGCTTGGGCAGGGGGTTGGACTGGGTGACCCACAGAGGTCCCTTCCAACCCCGACCATTCTGTGATTCTGTGAGAAGCTGGGCACCCAGCTGGCACCTACACTGCTGAAGTCCTTGAGACTCATAGACAATCAAGTGCATGGAGAACGGGGTAGATTCCTCACAAAACTGTACGGTGATGGTCTAAAGCAGAAACCATCCCAATCTTGGCAGAGTCAAACATAAACCTCCCATCTCCTAAGGCAGCACTATTCTAGTTTAGTACTAGCCATTCTGAGAGTAAAAGAAAAACTCCAAAGTCCCAGGTTTCTTTTTCTTCTGTAGCTGTTCGGCATCTCAATAAACTGTATCAAGGCATCTTTACTATATAGAACTTAAGATGCTATGTGCTTGGTTTTAAGGTCTTATTTAAAATTAAGTATTTCAGCTTGTAACTACCTGAATCCAGCATTCATTTTGGCCATTAATCAAGTGAACAAATATTACTAAGTAATACTTAGATTTCACAACAACGTTAACATCTTGTAAAACTTTGAACTGGATTCTTTTAACCTAATGTCCTTGGGGATTATTGCTGCTTCTTTTCAGCTTTTTTCAATTTGTGAACCCTAAACGTTTTCCAGGAGGAGGAGCACATTTTGTTGGATACTTCACATGCAGATTGCAGCGTGTATGAGTTGGCCTTTTAGTCACTTCTCAGGAAATCTGTAAGCTGTCCTGCAGAACCCAGGATCTGTGGACCGTGTTCCAAAAAGCCATTTTCTCTGAAGAGAAATTGTTCTCTCTCAGGAGAACATTTTTGTATGTGCTTCAGTAACCTCAATGACTTTGAAATTATTACTTTTATAATTAATCCCTCAGTCAGCGAAGGGTAGAGATTCTGTTTGCAAATGTCTCTGAATTGGTACTGATTGTTCTGTAAGGGTTCCCCAACTTGAGCTTTTTCTTCTTCATAATTAGTAAGTAGAGTTCATTGCCCACTTCTGCTGTTGAAAGGGAGTTGGATGCTACTCAAGTTCTGATTTGAACCCTAACTAATGGAATCCCCATTTTCCAGGGTTTCTTCATGCTGCTGAATTGTACTATTTTTCTAATACTTTGATGTGAACAGAGTTACAAGTCAAAGCTTGAGCATAAGACACTTCAGCATCCTGCAAAGTTGTATGTAAATGCCTGTTTTGAACTCCAGAAAACCAAGGGTCTGTGTTGTTTTAATAGAAAAAAAAGTCAGATAACCTCAGTTCAGTGCTTCTGAGGGAGACTGATCTTGAGGGCTTCGGCTTCCTGTTGGTGAAGACATAATTCAGGTGAAGGAGCAATAGATTTAGTAGCACTTGTGCTCGTTAAAGAACCCAAGAGAAACAGGGCACTTGCAGCATTCAAATGACCTACCCTTTAAATTGCAGGCCTGATAGTTGTATCTCGTTGCAGCATGGTTCTTTTCAGATCAGAAACTCAAGAGCTTGGTATGAAAAAAGTTTGCAATAGCACCATGCCATCCTTCTGATCTCTTGAGCTGATATTTAGTTCATTCTCCCAGTATATCTGTGTCAGAGGAAATGTGTGGGCACAGAGGAAGGTGGCTTTGTTGAGAAGCGTTAGCAGAGCAAAGGGCTAAAGGTCTAGATTTTGGTGGGGGAAAAAGAGTAGATATTGAAATGCAAGCTTTTCTTTTCAAGACGAGACAAGGGTTAGGTGCTTAGAGCAATCTCTCATGCTTTCTTCAAAGCTGAAGATCTCTCCAATAGCTGCAAAGCAGAAACTGCGGAGTACTGCGAGTGGCTGCAGTTGATCCTGTTGCTCCATACCTGTGCAAGCTGATGAATGTTCAGATCTTTACGTGTGCCCAGCTACGACTGTAGTAGTTCTCTTCTGATCTCTGCTATTTAATGTGTCAAGCCCCTTTTGTAACTTTCAACAACTGTTAATTAGAATTTGTTCTGTTTCTTCCTTTTCTAGGATTCAACCAGTGTTGTTGCTGCTCTCTTCATAGATGTCAAAAGTTCCTTGCTTGCTCATCTACCAATTGAATTCCATACCGGAGACAACTTCTTGATGATTGCACTTTTCCCCAAAACAAAGATTTATAAAGCTTTTTATTCACAGGTAAAGTAAAAAAAGATTGGTTTGAGTGGAGGGGAAACCACACAATTATTCTTTGCGTTTCAGGTGAGAGGCGAGGGTGAATTTATTGATGTCTGTCTTAACTGATTGAATTTGGGAAGAAGGGGTTTGTTTCTCGTGTTAGCTGAGCCACTAAAGCTAGTCACCTGATAAGTAAATGCTGGAGAGTTCAAATTCAAAATACAGTTCAAGGTCTCTCATTTGTGAACAAGCACAGTTTAGAAAGGAGAAGGGGCAGTTAATACTGAGGGAGCAACAAATTAGGAAATGCACTGAAAACTTCCTCCATGAAGCTGGATGGGATTCATGGAGGGTATTAGAAGAGACAGCTGATGTGATTTTTGAGGCTGCTTATCACTTCTGTAAAATCAGCGTGATCTGTACTGCCAGCAAGAGTCCTGCTTTGGGCAGGAGGTGGGTGCGTCTGGAGATGTCCGGAGGCTCTCTTCCAAACAGAAACTCTTGATTCTTTCTGACTTATGGCATCTGCCTTGCAGACTTGACACTGCCATGGACTGCCATGCCGTGTAGACCTTCCCGGTCCTTCCCAGCAGCATTATTGCTCCTGATCTTAGGAACTTGCTTGTGTGAGAAACTTTAACTTATGTATGAATTTCTAGTGATTGAGTTAAGTTTGATGCTGACCATGTGCTTTCATTTTGTCTTCTGAAGCCAGCGAGTGCTCTAAAAGCTGGCTTTCTAGTAGTTGCATTTTAAATGTAGCACTGGTGTATAATTGGCTACAGTAATTGTATGTAGTGGCAGAGGTTCTGTTGTGGTTTTTTGTGGTTAGACACATTTGGATCGTGATCCTCAGGGAAGTTTTGTTCAAGTCTTTAAGTATCCCATACGGCATGGTACTATTCTCTGAGTAGATTGGCTTCATGCATTGCAATGCAGGGGCTTTTAATAAACAAAACTTCATAACAATAGCGCTTTTGAGGAATGAGCCTGGAGGTGTTAGGACTTCACAAGGGTTTTGGTATGCGATCAGAGCACTGCAGTGGAAAAGACCACCTAGCTCAGTGAGTACTGTCCCCCCCGGTAGTATTAATGTTACCATGAAATTTCTCCTGCTTTAATCTTAAGTGTTTAGACTCTTCCCACTGTTCCGCTATGTGAGTGGTTGGGAATATTTTGTTTGTTTTCAAATTTTCAGCCTATTTATTAGCTCACTTTTATATCTGTTGTTTTTCTTTTGCTCTGCTATCCTTCAGGTGTTCAGAAATTTCAGGCCTATTTTTTCTGGTTTATTTGGCCTAATAAAATAAATCCAGATCCTTTTTAATCTATGCTTATAATAATTTCTCTTTTCTTCTGACTGTTGTAATACTTTCCTTTTGATCTGTTTTTTGGCTGTAGATATCCAAACTGTGCGTAGTGTCTGAGACTAGGGTATTTTTTTCTTGTACAGAGGCAGTAATAGTTCTTTCTTCTAAAAATGTTCAGAGGTACCCTTGGTTTGCCTTTACTTTTTGCTGCTGTCTTGAATTAATAGATCATGCTCATTTTGTGAGAAACTCCTTCAGGTCCTTTCTCTTTGGCTACCCACTGATACTCCAGCTGATTTGCGAAATGTTTGCGTGTTCATTCTTGCTTTCATACGTACCTTCCTCCTATTTTTCTTTCTGTTTCTTCCATTCCTACAGTTAGATCTGTTTTTCTGTGAAGCATCTCGCTGCTGTGTAGACTGCCTCCCAACTCGGTTCCCCAAAACGCTGTCAGCTCACTGCAGTCTGTGCCAAATTCACTGTAAAGGGAGTCACGGGACATTCCCTGAGCAGCTCTGCTGGTGGATGTCCCCAGCCTTCTGCTGGTGGATGTCCCCAGCCTTCTGCTGCTTTTTTACCATGTGATTTATTCCAGTTCTCCTTTGAGTTAGCGTTTTGCTGAGCAGTTCTGTACCGAGCTTCAGTTTCTGCAGTTGAACGGTTTCTCCTCTGGCACCATACCAGTTGCTTTGCTCAAGTTCAAGTAGATGAAACGTGTCTTTTGTCTTGAAGATGTACTCTCATGAATGAAAACTGTTCATAAGATCAAGTGTACCTGATTTTGTAAGCCATGGAATGTTATATTACTGTATTTTGTTAGTATTTACATTCAGGTATTTATTGATTTTCTCCAAAATTTTTTCTAAAAGTCTGCATGCCATTGAAGTTGCACAGACATAGTAGTCATTCTACAGACCTATAGTTACAAAGATTCGCTAAAATGCAGGTGCTAGTTTTACTCTTCTACAATCATATGGCATGATACCTCACTTCCTGGACCTGTCCTTTAGTTATTCCAAGCCTCCTTGAAAGAGGGAATGGCAATTACCTGTTCCTCCAGATCTGAGCGTATTAAATTCCTTGTAACTGAGACAGTTGCAAGATTTATAAATATCTGCAGGGTGGGGGTCAGGAGGATGGGGCCAGACTCTTTCCAGTGGTGCCCAGCGACAGGACAAGGGGCAGTGGGCACAAACTGAAGCAGAGGAAGCTCCAGCTGAAGATGAGGAAGAACTTCTTCCCTCTGAGGGTGACGGAGCCCTGGCCCAGGCTGCCCAGGGAGGCTTGTGAGGTCTCCTCCTCGGGAGATATTCCAGCCCCGCCTGGCCGCGGTGCTGTGCAGCCTGCTCTGGGTGACCCTGCTTGGGCAGGGGGTTGGGCTGGGTGACCCCCAGAGGTCCCTGCCAACCCCGACCGTTCTGTGATTTTGGGCACACAGAACTGGAATCTGGTTTGCAGATCCTGCAAAGACAAGAAGGTACCTTTCACGTCCTCACTGTAATTGGTAGGGGAGGAAAATTTGCTTAGGCTTTGTGATGTATTCATTTCTCTGTTTTTCTTCACCTTCTCTAATGCCATAGCAGCTCTTTTTTAAAATGTTCATTAAGTTATGCAAAAAGGCCTGATTTATATCCACTGAGTTCTGACCCGTGTTTTCACTTTACCCTAGCCCTTTGACTTCTAAAGAATACTATTTTCTGTTGACCAGTCCTTCTTTCCATCCCTTGCAGGCATTTTCCTTAGTCTTTTATATGTGGTTTGAAGGGGTTATTTATTTGGTTCCTTGGATCCTTCTACACACGCAATATTGTCTTTGTTAATATCAAAAGTTTATTTTTTGTTTTGATGTTTTTTATCTAAGTACCCTTGTGTTTAGGATGCCGATTCGTTAATGGAAAGCAGTCTTTCCCCTCCAGTTGTTTTGTCTTCAGCAAATTATTGTAAAAAAATTACAATGGTTGTTGCCTTTACTTATAAAAAGAAGGGAAATACCGAACACTTAGACTGTGTGATTCATCTGAATCTGATTTCTAGGTTCAGAGTGCCATTCATATTAATGTGACTTGGCTGGAGCAATAGGATGCGAGCCAAAACACTGTTCCCTAGAGAAATGAAGGGCTCCCTTTGCTTTTAGTGAAGGAACGGAGTTTTTCTTAAATTTCTAGAAATGATTGCTGCAATCTTACCTCATGAAAATTACAATAGTACTTAAAGGAGACTTATATTAATTCAGTTCCTGCTGTACTGCCGTTTGACTATAAATTCCTAGCATATGCTATAACTAAAAGATACACGTGAAGGTTACTGTTACTTTGGTGGGTAAATTTTTTTTCCTAGGATTTTTTTTGCAGCTATGAAGATGGGGAAAGCTAGACCATTTCAGTGAAGTTACTTCTTAAAGCAGTTCCAGTCCAGCCAAATAGAAGCTTCCAAAATCTGATTTGTGGAGACTTCCACCATATTTTGAATTCTTGCAGCAAAACCAGTATTGTGAAATATTTAATGGCTGGTTAAAATGCATGTGCTTTTTTTAGGTGAACAAAACTAATTTCTAAGCAATTTCAAAACAAATTTTGCAAAATAACAATGCTTATGCCTAGGTCTGGTTTGTTCCAGGTTTTCTCTTCGTGGCAAAACCAGACCAACTCAGGATTATCTTTAAGGCTTGTCCAGGAGGAATTCCTGTCTGTGGAACAAAAGAGACTGTAAGTTCATGCCAGTTACTCCAGTGTAATTACACATTAGCTGTGTGCTACAATCAGCAAAATGCTGTCACTCATTGAAGATTTTGTTAATGATTCAGAAAGGAATTTGCGTTCCTAGTGCGACACTTGCTTTATTTTTTTCGTACCAGTTAATATGTAGCTGTCTGGTTTAAGGAAGGTGAATTTCTAGGTTTCTTTTTTAACTAACCAATTAATTAATTTGCTTGCTTTAGGCATTCCAGTGTTCAGAAGCTATTTAATGCCTTGTCTTTTCCTGCTGGGGAAAGATGCAGGGAGCTGAAGATATCTGCTGCTCTGCCAGAATTAGAGAGGTGAGAAAGTTTTCTTTTTGTTTGTTTGTTTTTCTTCTCTTTTTTTCCAGAGATCAGTTTTGTCAGAAATAATGCCAAAATATTTTTATATATGTAATACTCATCTAAAAAAATACTTACTAAATAGCTTGTCTTCACGCTAGGTATTTTTACTCTGAGCTGAATTATTTCCTCTCTAGGAAGCCTCGGTTTGCCCTTTTAGTCATCTTATTTTTGTAATTTTCCAACTATTTATATGAATGAAGTCTTTTGGTCTTGATTGTAAGAAAATAAAACTTTTATTTTTGAAAGGTTTGCGCAACATTTTACTGTCAGCAGCATCAGTCACGAGCCAGTAATGAGAGCACATCTTCCAATTTTATTGCAACAGTCAGAAGTCATTGCTGATAGTAAAGGAAAAAGTGACAAGGTAAGGAAGCAACCCAGCAATACTTCCTATCCACAGTATAGAATATTTAGCAGATATTCTGTCTGTCATCAGTTCTGTTGCAAGCAATGCAGTAAAGTACTGATGTCTGTTTAACCATGCTCTCTGCCTCCTCCTCCAATACCGCCAGTTCACCCCCTGTTTCTCAGAATAAATTGCTCTGCCCTGTTTTCCTGATGACATTACTTAAATTTTTTCATTTGAATAATGTTTTGGAAGTGCTAATGGCCATCAGCCGTATAAAATAGAGGCAGAAAATGAGGCATAGGTCGTCAAGTGAACACTTTTCTCAAATGTCCAGAGAGAGATAGCCCTAAAGCGGTAGCTTGTTTTGATGAATTGCTGAATAATTTAACTGAATTGTTCTCTGGAACATAAAAGTCCTTTAAATAGCGTGGAGGCAGCACATGATATTTAACATTTGCTGATATTATCTGTAGAACACTCAGTTCTCTATAGGGGCAATAACAATTGTCAAACTTACGGAGTGATTTAAATAGCATTTTCAGAGAAAATATTTCCTTGTAATTTTCCAGCATTTGAAATCTGCTGCAAGCAAGAAAGTCAAAGCAGCAGGAGTATGCTCTTTCTGTTTGAATATTGCAATATGATGGCAGCCTTATTGCCTGGGATCTAGTTCAGAGACCATGCTGACACTTAAGCATTCATTAATAAACCTTTATTAATGTTGTAAAATCTGATTTTAAGGTTAGTTTAAGTGTTCTTGTGCATGTTTTAAAAAAAAAGGGGAAAATCTTTCTGTAATGTTCATACTGAATTCTATGAAACACACGAACTTAGTAACACTGATTTTTTCTGAGTTACTGCTCTATATCTATTATGATGAATACTCATTTTCTGTGAGCATCCGAAAGTGATTTTGAGGATAGGATACAAGTAGTCTGCAGGTGGCTGTCTTTGAATATCATGTAGAAACTGGAAGACGTCATTAGGGATATTCTCTGACTTCTTATCAGTGTTTGTTTGCTGTGATCCCTCTCTAAATATCACAGGAAATACACATAATGGAAACAGAAGTGCTTTATGCAGAAAAGCTGTTGGTATGTTAGAGCTGTTATTGTGCAGCCTCTTACCGATCCGACTCAAAATGCAGCTTTGCTGGCATGAATTTTCTGTGTAGCGTGCTCGGTTCAGTGTCAGAAACCTAGAGTTGCTCTTTGTGTTTGACAAGACTGACATACATCATCACTTTTTGAACCATTTTGCTCAAGTAACGGTTTATGTGTTTGAATGTACCCTTTTCTTTGTAAGAAACAAAAACTATTTGTTGACTCTTGCAGTGTTTTGTCTGACATTTGCATTAATATTTACAGTGCAGACTAGGTGTTAATGTAAAGGTTTTGCTAATACTGTTTGCTGTACTTGTTAATTATCCTTTCACTGTATTTAAGTTATGAAAACCAAGAGAAAATGCATCTTTCTAAAATGTTCTGCACTATCATGCTCTTTCTCTGGTTAGTGTCCCTTAATTTTGTGTTTAGACTCGAGATTGTATCAAGATAGAGAGCCTTATCTGTGTGCAATTGTTGTAGCTCATTTCTAGTCTCCAGGTTGCCCTGCTTCTTACCCGTTCCCTGTGTTTTAGGTGGTTATCACCATTATAAGTGGTCTTCCAGGATGTCGCTGCAGCGATCTGTGCGCTTTTCTTGTAACTTTTAACAAGGAGCATGGAAGGTTTGTACTGTTCTGGTTTTACAGTCCAAAGCAGTGGTTATGCAAATTGTCAAAGAACCATGCAGCGTGAAGGAAATGAAACTATCAGTGTTTCACTTTATTTATTTTTGTTTTTGCATTTTCTATTTTGTAAACAGATGTGTTAGAAGAAAAAATCCAGTAAATATTATGAGGCACCTTAACTAGTTCTACGTAGCACACTGTAGGGTATGGTATATTACTTCAGTTCTGTTACTTCAGATATCTTATTTAACAGTGTTATGCCAGGTGGATTTGCCCTTAAATTTTAGATATTTAGAAAAGAAAAATATCACAGGAGATTTCTTTGTGAATATTCATATTAAAAATAGCATGAGATTGACTGTGCATCTATGACTCTGTCTGGAACAATCACCGATGCCACAAACGGTTAACAGTCTTAGAAGGGCGAAGTGAACCCTGCCTTAAGCAAGAATGGAAGTCGTCACAACTTGAAGGAAATGGGTGAAGAGCTTCCATTTCTTGATTTTTGTGGCAGTGAGTCTAAAATGCATTTTTCTTCTTGGAGAAAAAACTGTACTAACAGTTCTTGCTGCAGCATTGTTTTTAGTCTGACCTGGTTTCTATTCTACAGTAGCAGGAGATATATTCAGGACGTCTATTGTATGGCAATAAGATAAATCTGCTCTTGGAATTTGCCATTCTGTGTGTTGATATAGCTTCTGGAAATCAAAAAAAGAAATTCTTATCCTTTTAAATCTTCCAGCCAAACACCTTAGCATTTCATCTTGTTAATGTTTTTTTTGTATCACTTTTGACTCAGTGTCTTGATATTAACGAGTTGATTCAGAACAGTTTTGTGGTTCTGTTTTTAGGGCAAACAAATAAGGTGACTTTTGAATGTTCTGTAATAACACTTTTCATCATGTTTTCCTGCGAATGTTGTCATTACTTTTCATTTGTGCAGTGAAATATTTTCGTGCCCAGAGTCTTTTGAATTGGATTCATATAATTTTTGTTTACTGCATCACTGAGATCAGAATTACTCACATGATGTGCGGCTTTGAAGAAGCTGTTGAGCGTTGCTTCTCAAAAAATAGTAACAACCACAAAACTTTCTGACAGTAACGTAAAAACGTGCTTATACAGGAGATGATAGAAAGCCAAGTAAATTCCTCTTTTCTATGTGGTGCAAGAGATGTGGAATCTTAGGCCTGTCAAATTTATTTTTGGTTGTTGGCTCAAAATAAAAAGCAGAAATATTATGTCACAGAACACTAACTTCTTTCCTTGCTTTCTGTTATTTAGGTGGATAGTTTATCGGCAAACTCTGGATAGTCCAGAATGTTTCAGTGCAGCCCACTTCCAGCGTTACCTCTCCAGCGTCCTGGAGGCTCAGCAAAACCACAGTGTCCGTCAGTCCACTTATGCTAAAAAGAACAAGCGTCTCTTAGTGGTCTTGCAAGGGTAAATGTTTGAATTTTTTGAACTGTTGCATAGAATCATAGAATGGCTTGGGTTCGAAGGGACCTTAAAGATCATCTGGTTCCAATCCCCCTGCCATGAGCAGGGACATCT